GAGATCTACGCAAAGGTGCAGCGGGTTTAGGTAGCTGCCAGCCTTCTGCCTGTCACTGACCTGCCTATCTGAAGGCCTCTTTGCCATATAGTTATTTCTCGTTGTCTGGCAGGCAGTCACAGCTTTTGCTTAATGTAAGAGATAATTTAGCTTATGCTTATAGCTTCTATCCAGTGGTCCATTGGCAATCCCTCAGGCCATGATTAAACAAACTTTTCAGTTGATATAATTTTCTTTCCACTTCGATACCTGATGAAGAATTTAAGCCCTCAAATACTACTGAATTACTTATGGAGGGAAATACAAAGAAGTAACTACAGGTTTATTCTCTCATGAAATAGCTGAGCACAGGTTGAGGTCCCCAGTTAGATCTGCTTTCAGTAAGGCTCTCTGGGTTTAATTTTCTCCTGACTGGGCTTCAAGTGGCACAGAGATGTAGAGGAGAAAAGCAGGTTTAAAATTCGTTGTATGCTTCCCCTGCTGGAATCAGTCTATATTCTCCTGAAATAGCTTGGTTCACAGGTCTGAGAACAGCTGGGAAGCAGAGCCATTTTCCTCCCCAGAGGGTTGCAAGGACAACCACGGGCATTTCTTGAGGCCAGTTTCCTGACTGTTAATACTCCTATACTTTGCCTCAAGAGTCGGAAGCATAACAAAGAAACAATTCCTTTATTAGCAAAATGTAAAAGATATTGCAGACTTTGATTTCTTTTTTAAAGCATATTTTTAAAAAGCCATCATGGAATAAAAAATCCTGCAGAAAATGAAATAAAATAGAACACTTTTAAAAGCATGGAAATAACCATGTATGTGAATATCCCTGCTTGGTTGCTTTCTTTTGTGTTGCATGCTGTATCCCTTGCTCTCTAAAGCATTTTGTGCTTTTTTATTTCTTAAAAATTTACAGAAAATTTAGTTACCTATTTGCATGATGTATTTTATTGTTTCCCCCCTTCGTTAGCATTTTTCTTTTTTAAATGAAAAAATAAAATCTATATAGCAAAGTTCTGGTTTGAAGTGATCTTGTGAAATTACATTTTCCTAAATTCTGAATGTGAAGATTTTTGGCCTTAGATGGTTGTCGTACTCTACGTCAGCTTGCATCAGCTTCTTGGTAGTGTTAGCGACCAGACTTTTGAAGACTGGTGTGTGAGACCTTGTGTTTTCCTCCCCCAGAGCACCGCAGTTAGAGGAATACTGGCTCAGTAGTTCGGGTTATTTCAGTATCACGCATTGAAAAGTTGTCTTTTTTCCTTCCAAGTTCCCAACGGTCATAAATATTTCCCGTGTTTTCCAAGATAAAACTTGGCAAGCAGCTACTCTTGTGGCCTAGTTTACTCTCAGCTTTTGAGGTGTGGAGGAGGAGCAGCAGCTCTGGGAGTTTCATGCTCTCTGTGCTGTGGAAATGGGTCTTTCTCCTGCTCCACAGTAAAGGGTGAGGCTGGGGACCATGTCAGAAAGTTGCAGTGATAGCGTATTTCATGGCAAATGTCTCCTGCATGTGAGTTGCGGAGCAGCTGTCAATGCTAATTGAGTTTATAGCTTAGAGCAGAGGCTGGAAAAGACAATCCTATGCTTTCACTTTTAAGAGATGGGGGGCATACGTGTGAAATTTGAACCCAAAATAAAGGTTGTGGAGCTAGTCTAATCACTTGTTAACATTTAACAAGGAGTTAATTGCCTCTGTAATCCCAAAGATGTCCATTGATACCTCTTGGGCAAGTACAACTGCAAACTTCTTCAGTAAACAACGAGCTTTCTCTGCAGGCAGCACAAGTTTCTGACTCTGCAGGCTAAGAGGCGAAACTGGTGGGATCAGCTGCTGGGATAATTTGAGCCACCAGAAACAAAGGGGTGAGTCATTGCCAGTGACCAGCCAGGCACGCCAGGGCTCCAGCCGGCGCTGTCAAGTGCGGAGAGCAGCGTATGCGAGCGCTCGCATGCGCCCAGCGCGAGCTCCTGGCTCCGATTTCCTCCCAAAGGCTGTGTGTTTGGAGAAAATACTTTTTCCAGCAGAGAATTCACTGTTCCTGGGGAAACTGTAAACATATAGAAAATGTGTTGGGACCAGTGCGGAACGTGTTCGTTGACACTGTATGAACTGCGGTAACACCTTCAAGCATTCCAGCATTTGCCTTGTCTCAAATAATTTCTGAACTATACTTTATGGCAAATACGACACTAAAAGGCTTTCTCAGAAAAACTGGACTAAGGACTGTTTTTAGAAAGACCACACAAAGCTTGGCAGATAGACTGAAGTTATTTCTGCAGGGTTTATTTTCTGCATAGTTTGTTTGTATTCAGAATAAGTATGAGGCACATGCTGCTCACTTGGGCTCATCTGTTGATACAGTCGATACCACAACCACCTCAGGCAGTCCTCCGTGCTGAAAAATGGCAGCAGGGACTGAGAGGGCACGGGGTGGGGGGGAGCATCTCAGTGTTCTGCACTTAATTCTTCCCTGAGTGTCCATCTGGGACCGCTGTTGGGACCTCCATCTGGGAGGATGTAGGGTCAGATCTACTGGATCTTTTGGGGTCATTTAATTACATTCTGAGCAATAAATCGGAGTGCATATTTGCAAGGGAACCACTCCCTGTGGGTAGTGTTAAGTGCCTGGTGAGATTTGGCAGCCCAAGTGCACTAAGGTAAGTTAATCTAAATGGTGTTTTATGGATTTACCTAACCTTCATGAACATCTGTGTGATCACCCTAGAATATTTAGGATGTAAAATAAGTAGAATGAGGCCTAATAGCCTTAATAATCCATTAGGGGGGGGGGAAAAAAACCACACAATTAAAAAAAAATCTAATGAGGGCCCATAAACTCTAATACTTTGGAAAGTTTTGGCAAGCTTTTACTTACTTTGGCTGTGCAATGCGAGTCAGTGAGGATATCCTGAAGGAAACAGTGTCATGAACTGGCAGGGTCAGATTGATAGATTTTTTCCAATGACCAGTTTATATCTCAAGTGCTATTTCTGTCTTGATAAATGTGTCTTATAGCTCAACCAGGGTATGCTAAATGCCTTTTCAAGCAAATGCCTGAGGATAATACTGGATATTCACTGGAATGATGTTGCAGTAAGTGCTAAAATTCGCCAAAAGTTTCAGTAATTTTTCACTTCCAAAGTTATCTAGAAAAAAAATGGAAATATTTGGGGCCAGTGTTAAGAATGAAGTCTGAGCATCTACGATGACAAGTGTCCCTGGGCAGCTGTGGAGCGTGTGAAGGGGCTGCCTGAAGGAATTTGTTTGTTGACCATTGCCTAGCGAGGAGAAGCAGAGCGGCCACCACGACATGACAGACGTGTGAAGCGTGGACAGGGCCAGACAGATGGCAGAGCCCTGTGCATGTTCTGGGTGACATCCGACGGCCTGAGATGAATTCAGATGTATAAGGTGGTTCACTGACTTGGACTCAGTCCCAAAGAAGAATTTGGCTGTTTTAATTAAAACACAAAGCCCAGGGAAGCTAAAATGTATCAAAACTCTGTTTATTACTGTCAGCAGTTAGATACCTTGTAGAAAGCAAAATACTGGTTCCTAAATCTCCTTAATGCCTAAACATTCATAACATTCATTGGCATCCATTTCTTCCTGTTCCCTTAGACTGGAGCTTGCACAAGGAGGTGTCTTTTACTTTTGATGCCAAGTGATCCTTACAAGCATAATTCTGGGTAGTCCAAATGTCTTGCTCAGAGCTGAAGCTCCTCAACTGAATCTCCTTCCAGTGGTACTAGAGACTGCAACTACTGAGGCAGAGGGGAGGGAGCCATAGGGCATTAGCCCTTTCGCACAGAGGCCCACAGCATCCTGTAAAATACTTTGGGATCTTCTGAGTTTTAAGACCAGCAGTAAATTTATCAATGTGCGATTTTCTATAATCCCTGTAAAAATTGGAAAGTCATTCTGGGGTTAATAAGTACATGCAAGTTTCTGGAAAAAAAAAAAAAAACAGAGCAGGCTTTCATCCCTGCCTTTTGATTTGTAGCATTTCATATTTTTAAAATTATCCACTCAACAAAAAGGGATAGAGAGTAATAATTGAAGAATAAAAAACAAAGCTCAAAGTAGCCTTGACAGGTTGAATTCCAAGTTTCCTGGGCTGTGAAATTAACCTGTTGTTTAATTTTGCCAGTTTTAAGAGTTTCTGTTTTAAGGGTACTCAGCCAGAAGTCGTCATTCATGTTTGTTGAAAGGACCTCCCTTGCAGGAGTAGGGTTATGACCAGACCCCCTGTGCTCAGCTTCTGATGGATGTACTCTACCATGGAGCGTGGATATGTATCATTTGAAGTGTACTTTCTGCTTGAAGGGAAGAGGCAGGAATCTGGATGCATTATACTTGAATGAAAAATCCTTTGGCAAACGTCTCTGGACATAGCAGATTCGATACCTAATGAATGTGATGGTACAACAGGTTATACTTAAAGCTCAAATGGCAAATGTAGATTTCAGGATTAAATGTACAACTACTTTCCATTCCCCTAAAATGTGCATGAGATATTTAGAGTTGACAGTTATCTAACCTGGGGCTATTTTGATAAACCCTTGAAAAACCCCATGATCCAGTTTTGTGGATTTTGGCTCAGTCTGTCTGTACACGCTCACACACATCCTCAGTTGCTACCAGCCGCCTGCCAGGCAGGAACGATGTACAGGACTGCAAGCCTAGAAGCATCCCTGGTAAATTGAAGCAGCCAGTGGTGATCTTTGAAGCGGCTAACTGCTGGATGCAGTTTTGCAGAGCTCCAGGAAATATTAGCCAGGGTCCTGGTGGCTGTGATGTTCAACATCAATGGATGTGTTCCTTGGCTGCAGGTTTTGTGGTTGCAGATGCTGAATCTTCACCACTGCGTGTTCCTGGTCCAGGATGAAGCTTGCTGGGGCAGAAGATGAGTCACTGCGGCTGCTTTCTTGCTTAGAGTGGATTACTCAAAAGTGGCCATTGAGAAAACACAGCAGCAGCTACAGGGCTGCCACAGCAGCAGCCGGTGATGAACAAGTTACGAGACAGCGACCTCCAGCAGCTTTTGGAAACAGATGGTGTGGCTAGGCTGATTCCCTCAGGTGACCTTCTCCCAGGTTACTGCTAGCACCCATCAGGGCCTGGTGAGCTCACCTGTGAGCCCCTTCTGTAGCCAGCTATTTCATGACATGGATATAAATATGTACCTTGTCTGTTAGCAGTTCTGTTTGTATTTTGTGACGTGAGATTACTGATCAGCCCACCATGAGCCTGCCAGTCGTCCTAACAATCCTGGTATAAAAAAAGAGTAGAAAACCACCTAGCGTATGGAAAGCAGGAAACTCACAGGAGTTCAACTTCTGAAGCCAGTGAAACCAAATAGATATTTCAAACATTTTGAAACCAAATAATATTTCAGCCTATCTAGGACCTAGGGCCCAGGTGAGTATCAGAGTAAATGTAATTTATCTAGGCCAAGCCTATTTATAACTTTCCTTGGAGGGACAAGGCTTGTGGGCAAATGTTACATTTTATTAGTTGATCTTATGTAGCTGGGAGAGACAGACAAGCATTTAGGCAGATGAGCTGTTTTTTGGGGTAATGCAGTAGGCCAAGTGATTTGGTAGACACAGAGAGAGCAGATTCATGCAGTAGGAAAGTTTTGCTTTTATAATCTTTTACTGAGTGTGTCCCTGTGGTTTGCAGATGCACTCCAGAGGGCTAACCATTGAGGGTTTTTCTTTCCCCAAGGGCAGCGTTGCAGCCTGGCCCAGGACCCCCTGCATGCTGTGACCCCGCTCCCTTGTGCACCTAAGCCAAGTCATGCTGGGCAGGCTTTTGTTCCTGCTCATCCTGGCTCCAGGACTCGCTTGTCCTCTCCCTCCTGGGCCTGCTGCTTGCTGTGACTAGTCTTCCCACTTTCCTGGCTGAGTGCAGGTTTGCTTCAGAGTTTTGCTTAGGCTCAGGTGCCACAGGCTTTTAGTTTAACCCCTTTGGAGCATACCAAGGAAGTTTGTCAACCAAGAAGTCTTTGCTTTTGAAGCACAAAAGCATGATCCTCCAGATTAATGGAAATCCTGACATGCGGCAACCAAATTTGGGTTGGCTGGGTTGGAGTATCTCTTGCTTCTCTCTCTCAAACTCTTACGCCCTGTGGCTGTGCTCGTCAATCAGATCTGAGGAGAAGCATGGCCCCAGAAGCCTCTCTTAAAACACAACGAGAAGGCCCCTGTCCCATGGTCTGGCTCACCAGCTTCCTCATGTTGGTTCCCCTGTGAGGCGCAGGCCAACAGTTTGGTCTGGGTTGCAAATCTGATGGATTTTTCTTCAAAAATGTGCCAAAGCTGTGCGGACTGCGGATGGATACATTTGCCTTGGGCAGGCTGAGACATGCTCGGCACACGATACAAAGCAGAGCTCATAATATGTTACAGGCATACTCTACCACATCACACCATGTGCATGTGCATAAATACATGTAAGGATCAATAAAGAAAGTAAATCGACTACATAATGCAAGGGAATACCACAGGAGTGAAATTTCATATTCTTTTGCTGAAGGAAGGCAGCCCCATGATGCACTCTGCCAGGGCAAGCAGTTGTGCTGCAAGAGCTATCACAGTGCTTGCCCCTGTGTGCTTGATGGTGGTGGAAACATGATTTAGCAAAGGGACAGAGCTAGTAATGAAAGAGATGAGCACTGTGAACAAATAGATGCCTGATGATTTCTACTTTATATGGTTTTTATCTTTACTATTCCCTGTGCACTGGGGACAATGGAAACTGATTTAGGATGCCAAAGAATAAAGAAAAGGCTTTTCTGAATTATTTCCAGTTCAGAAATTCACAACAGAGAATCTTGTGTCTCCAAATCTTACCTACGTCCTGCTCAAGTATACCAGCTAATAGAAATCACAGAGATAAAAAAAAAGAGCGGTTGCAAGGAAAACCAGAGATACTGCAGAAGAACCTGGCAGCCTTTGTGTCAGCAGATAAAAAGTTGTCAAAATTATGTAACGAACAGTGTGAAAAGGAGAACCGAGTGGTCTGAACAACAGCTCACTGGGACTGGTGGGTTGGCTGGAACAAGCAGAAAGAAAACTTGAATAGTGTATAAAAATCTCTGAGGTCATTGTGAAAGAAAACAAACCCACATGCTTGTGTTTGGAACAAAGAGAAGGCCTGGTGTAATTGGTGCATGATGTAAGGATCTTGGGACTTCAAGAGGGAGAGCAAGGAGAGGACCTGGCTGTTGCCAAAAAGCTCTTACAAGTAAGTGTACCCAGCGCAGTGGCACAACTCCTATAAATCAGAAACAGAAAACGGCAGCACCAGCTGGACCTTTGGCAGACTTTCACAGGCACACTGACGGATCGAGGCTGGAAGGCGTCGCCAGTGTGGTAGTCGCTACACCAGATGCTGCAGTCACAGAGTGTTTCAGGGCTAATTGTATTACTTTTATGGTTTTTGACAGGCTTGCTAACAGCTGTATTTCTGAACTTTCTAGGGGCGCAGAGGACAGGGCAGGAGGTGGGGCTGGTAGTTAATCCAAGCTGGCAGCTGGGAAAGGAGCCTTTGAAGATTTGTCCCCCGGGGCTGGAAACATGAGCTCTCTGGCCCGGTCTGGTGGCCACGGCAAACAAAGGGTCAAATGATAAATCTCAGTTTCCAGAGGGAGACTCAGTCTGTAAAGTAAGGTGAGCTGGAGAGAAAGCTGCCGGGGAGCTCCTGTTGTCAGGGCTGTCCATCCAGCCGGAGGAAGGTGCGTGACTGCCTGGGCGAACTGCCTGTGTGTTCATCGCTGGAGGCTGCGCTTTCTACCAAATGCTTTTGTTTTCAATAAATACGACTCAGCTTTGTGAGAGTTGCCTGGAAACCTCATTGTTCCCCCTGAAGAAGCTGAGTAGCGCAGGGGCAGATGTAGCGGGGTCCTCAGGTGCTCTCGCTGCCCAGGTGGTGAGGACCAGGCCAGGCAGGACCACTGGCTTTTGCCGCAGGAAGGTGACAGCTTTAGGCTTGAGGTGCCCCTGTAGACACAAGAGGAGGAAAAGCCTTGACAGTAGCAGTGCATGTCCGTCACTGCAGACAACAAACACAGACCACCTCCTGCTTCTCCATCCCTCAGCTATTTTCACACAGCTGCTTTTAAGAAACCACGGAGGAGACAAGGCAGTTTAAAGACCAAAAAGTTTTTTCTGTGATGACAATGCTAATTGGTCCCAGCATATACGATGCAGTTCTGGTGTGAATCTAATGGCTTACCAGAAATAAAGTCATCTGCGGCTTGATGGGAATGAAAATACCAGTTACACCCTGCGGTCAAGTCGCTTTAGTCACGGCACCACCCTGGAGCCTCTACCTTGATTCACGTGGGCCAGGCTTTGCTGCTCAGCCCCATGTGCGTCATGTGTGCATCTGTCCATTGCGGGGGGAAGAAGCTCCTGCAACAAGTCTCCCAAGGGCCAAGGGGAAGTGGTTAAACACTGACTTTGCAGCATTCCCTGTTTGCCAGATCAGGCTGGGGAGGGGGGTGTGGGGCAGACCCCCCAGGTGCCTGGGTGGTGGACAGACCCCCTCCTTGGGTCCAGCAGCAGTGGTGAGAGGCAATGCTTTCTCCAGCTGCCTGGGATGCACTGCTGCTACCCGGAGACCTTGGTCACACAAGAAGTCTTGGTGGCTCTTGATGCATGTCAGGTTTGGTGACGTTGCGGCCAAGGCTGCCCAGCTGGGAGCTGGCACCAGCACCCTGCCAGAGCTGTCCCACAGCATCCAGCACAGGGACCTGGGGCAAGGGCTCCGTGCCCTCTAGCCTGGTGCTGCCTAGCTTTTAAGGCTGCATGGACCAAAACTTGCTGCAAAGACCTCTGGCTCTGACAACAGCCCTCTGCTTGTAGGTCAAAAGATATTAAAGTATTCCAAACTGCATTTCTCTGACTTCTCATCAAAAATGGCCACTATAGTTGCAGTTTAAGCTGATTCTCTAATCCCAGCACAATATTGTAAGCCCAGCTGAAATATTTGTGCAGGGGTTTTTTGTGTGTTTTATTAGTTTGGGGATTTTTTAAAATTTTACTTTCTTCATGGAATTGTAAGGCAAAACCTTTCCCTCCAATTGAAAACTCACTTGCTCATGCAATTTTTTGCTTTCCCAAGACACTGCCTGAAAAAATTTGAAAAAAAACCACCTCACCCTCCAACTCTTCCTTTTCCCTCCAAGAAGCTGTACCAAAATGCATGGTGACTCTTCCTGGTTAGAGGAAGAATTTTCTTCAGAAAACCTCAACTTTTCATAGATAGGACAAATTTAACATTGATCCACAAAGTTCTGTTTTTCAAGACAAATTGTCAGCAAAAAATGTCCACTTTAGTTGAAAGATTTGCTTTCTACTGAAAAGAAATTGAATGAAAAACAGAGTGTTGAGTCTGAAGCTTTCCAATCCAGTGCCACAAGCCTTCTCCTAGATTCACCCAAAATCTCCTGTGAAGTAGCTGGTAGAATTTCTGTGTTCTTAACTCAAAGTCTGAACCTTCATCTAAACCTCATCTGTACCCAGGGATAGCCTCCATGTGCAAACTTCATTTGCAAAATGATGTCTCTCTGGCTGTATCATTAATATTTTTAACTAACTTTTCCTGGAGATGTAAGAAGGCTTAATAGGTCCTAAAAAATGAAGTGCTTTGCTGCCTTTTTTTTTGGCAGTAAAATATTTTAAAATAACCGTAAAGCCACGGCCCCAAATCCAGACACTGAGATTCCAGAGAAGGGATCAGTAGATCAATTTTTTTCCTAAGAGACCCTGGTAATATTCTTTCCTGTTTCTGTATGGGAAGTACAGAGAAAACCCAAACATGACTGGCAACTTTAAGACATTTCTTGCAAATTTTCTGTATAAATGAGTGTCTAATCAAATGTGAATTCCCAAACTTCTTCTGTTTCATATTTCCTTAATACTGTTTCTCTTGGAGCTCACTGCTTCTATGCATTGTTTCTTGTAAAGCTGCACTGTTGCTGAACTAAGCAAACAGCTGTGTCAGATATAAACCCCACAGAGTCTAACATGTCTGTGGTTACCCTTCCAAATTGTTACAGAGGAAATATATCATTGAAAAGCTAACTGGTAATTTTAGTTATCCCAGTTGGTTTTTTTCATTTTGTCAATGGAATTTGGTTTAGTTTATTAGCCAGTGTCTGGCATTTTGTCTTGTTTGTGTTATTTACAGAGAAAGTAATCAGTGTAGTTTCTGCACTGTTTTGGGGATAAAGTAGTGTTGCTGGTTTCAACCCCCCTTCCCCTAAGCCATTGATATAATCACTGCTGACTGATGTATTGATGCCTATTTGTTAAGTAAATAAAAAAAAATTAAATACAGATTTGGAAAATTTGGGTGAATGACTCATAAAGTTAATGTATCACCAACTGTAATTGAGAGAGACTCTGTACGGAACTGCTTATTAGAGCAGCAAGATGAGAGACCTGCATACAGAAAGATTTTAAAGGTCTCATTTTGCGAGTTTTACTGCCGCAATGCATAGTTGCATTGAGGAGGGATAGGTTTGAAGCACTGGGTCCTAATCCCCCCTGGGCTCAATACTTTTGCTTGGGCATGGAGGAATGTAAAATGAACGCATGCTTGGTCCTGTACAGTTTGATTCAGCTGTCAAGGACAAGACGGGGAAGTTACGCAGTAGCTAGAAAGTCATTGTAGGAAAGTGGGTAAAAAGTGCATTACTCGCCAGCCTGAGTAGTGAGTGAGTGGTGAGTGAAATACATCTGGGAGTCCCTTTTCTCCCATCTCTTCTCCTGGCTGTAGGTGTTTGCGTTCACCGGGGAACTGCTAGCTGTTAGCAATCAAAGGTAGGTAGTGGTCCCTGGCTTTTGTCATCTGTGGAGAAGCTTGTATGGTGTCTTCACCATAATGGCAAAAAACCATGCCATTCTCTAAAAATGGAAAGAAAGTGCAGCTTTCTGGTATTTGCACAGCCCCTTATACTGCTTAGGGATGCATCTACCCCCTGAGCAAGTAATTCCCAGAAATTGTATGCTCGTGTTTCTGTGTCATCAGGCTTTTCCTAGCATTTTGTGACTACCTCTTTTGCTTTCCTGTGATTTTGAAGAGTAGCCCTCTCTTGAAAATTGCTGAATGACTGCTATAAATTAAGCACTATGGGCATTTGGAGGAGGAGGATTTTGAGGAAAAAGCTCGTGTGGCATGCTGCAAAGTGAAGCTGCATGAAGCTCATTTTTAATGAGAGATTTCAGGCTACAGCACTGTGCATTCATCAAATTCTCTATACACTGCTAAATATCCTTCTGTTACTCCCACAAAGAAGCGTGGAAAGTTGTCTGCTTCTTTACTCCAAGGAACCCTCTCTTCACATTGATTTGCTCTCACAATTGCTCTGTGTCAGTCCTTGAGGTCTGCATTGTGAGACCTTCCTTTCTGCAGCAATGGCACATGTCGTTGCTGTTACTGAAATACAGTTTAGTATAAAAGCCATTTAGTCAATGCCAGCATTCATTTGGAAGAAGTTTAATATTAGCATTTTCTGAGCTTGATACTGCAAAGTGCCAGGCTCCCTGATCCTGATTAGCAAGGCATTTAAACTTACACATAAAGCTCTCTATCAGTGCTCCCATTGATTTCTGTGGAGCCAATCACACATTTAAACTTCCAGAAGATGCTAAAATGATTAGCAGCCTGGGGGTGAGAGCACTCCGTTCTAAGTTCTGGGAACTTAATGAATAGGTCAAATTAATCTTTTAAAAAAGCACAACTGGAAAAAAAAAAACAAAACTGATTAAAAAGAGAGTTCATGATCTTTGTTCTCATGTCAGTGGGGAATCAGACCAAGTGAGAGCAAGTGTACAGCAAACAGAGAACGCAGAATCAAGTTTATAGTAACATAATCATCCTGACAGAAAACTCTTAAGAGGTTTTCTTTCTCTTTTAAATCACTATTTTTGTGGAAGAACCTTAGTCTACTTATAATTAAGTCTTAAATCCAGACAGCCATTTAAGCCTCATAGCTGGTAATTTGAGGTCTTCATGTGAATGTGTTTTCCTATGTCGACACTAATTTATTTCTGGAAAAAAAAAAGATGAATATTATAAGAAGGCTCTGTTTCCTATGGGGTTTCTCATAAAGTTCAGACAAAAATAGGACTGAAATCTAAACTGAAATTGCCAGGCATGGATTCTGAATTGTAGGTTTCTTTCTAAGCAAAATGATCCAAATTCAGACTAGCCTAAAAACACAGATTCCTCGTCTAAACTGGATATTGCCACTTATATCAATTAAACACAAATGTGTGAGAAGCATTTGACTTCCAATAGAGCCTTGTGATTTCCCTCTATCCTCCATGCATGTGAAAAAAAATGCATACCGTGGACTAGCACATGTCAGCAAATAAATACTGTGCATGCTAACTCTTGTGAACTAAGTGGGTATCTGTATGCAAGTGGATGTTTTATGCACTCACATTTTATGTAGTGGCAGATTAAATATTTGGCAGGCACATTAGGTGCCTATTTTTAAATATTTATTCCTGTGTTTATTTTTCTTTCATATGCTGCTGCAGTAACAAGTTACTCTTACTTAACCAGTGATTTTGTATATTCCTCCAAGAGACTAAAAGCAGACACAGAAGATACAAAGAGAAATTATGGTAAGAGGCAAAAAAATTCCATTCCCTAAAAAGGGAAAGAAAATGTAGCTTTTCTGTATTTACACGGCCCCTTATAAAGCTTAGGGCTGCATCTACCCCCAAAGTAAGTAGCAATCATTTATCTTACATCTGTTAAACAAAAATGTACAGTACAAATGGGTTGCTGTGCACAGTGTCTGCAGGTGAGAGAGGGAGCAGATGCAGGGGGATGCTGTAACATGCACCGCCTAAGGAATCAGGTGTTGTCAGAGATGCTGCCCGCTCCTGGCATCTTCCCGGGGGCGTACGGGAGAGGACTTTGGGAACGTCATAGACCAGATCTGTACCTGCTGTTTGCCTTGCGGGGGGCAGTGACTGTCCATGCGGATGATGTTTTTCACATCAGAGAGAATACTTTTGAAAAGGCAATAGAGGAGCTCCTAGGAAGCAACCCCAGGGTTGCTTGGTAGAGTTGGAGGGTTCAGGCAAGATTTGGGAGGGGACGGTGTGCCTCAAAGGCAAGCAATATATTTAACATCAGTCTGACTGCTGATGTGTCCAAGTTAAGCATGTGCTTACATATGTGTGGAAACTGAGCCAAGCTCTGTGGTCAAGTGAAATGAGATTAAAGAAGAAGAAATAGATGCTCTGGGGAGTCTAAAGACGATAGGTGTGATGTGCTGCTGGGTGAAGGGCTGACTCGACAGTCTCTGACAGCTCTTACGACTCTTGTTTGCAGCCTGGCTGAGAATTAGTATCAGGAATGGGATTTGTCTGATTTACATTGCCACTAGGTTACGAGGCTCATTTTCCAGATCATCTATGGGATGATGTTTCAGACATGGATGTCCTAACTTGTTTTGTTGGGTTTTTAAAAATTGTCTTTCTCTCTCTGTTTCGCTTGTTTCTGGCATTGCATTCCAGGTTTCTGTGACTCCTGTATCCTGTTTTACTCTCCTGATCTTGGTTTTGATGTGTTAGTAAAGTCTGCAGGATCAGGCTTCTGTTTCACTGTGATTTATTTACTGTTGCCTCCTTTTTCTATATGTTGCTTCTTTGGCTTTTTTTTTGGCCTCCTTGTGCATTTTTAGCTTGTCATCACAGCCTTTCTTTTGTTTTTATAGACAAGGTTATGTTTTAGGCCCTGCTCCTAAAATATCCATCCAGAGACTAATTTTGAAATAATCCCATTGAGACTGCTGATATGTTTAAATGTAGCTTTACATTTAGCACTTTTCTGAATCAGCAGATTTGTATATGTTAGTTTTACTAGTTGCAGAGTGTCTTTCTAGTTCTCTTCTTTGACACCAGAAATGCTTTAAAAGTTTTTGGCTGCAATGTCTTTTTTATGTATTGTTTTAAAATCTAAATTATAAAAATGAAGTTAAAAAGTTTTAATCTGTAAACCAACTAAATATTCCTGCATTCCTAAATATACTTGCTCAACGAATGAGTGGCGGTCTCAATCTCCTGACCTAGCCCTAGGACAACTGTTCCAATACCTATTTATAAATAAGTACTTTTGTCCAGGGATGCAAAAGCAAAGCCTCTGACATTTATTATTCTGATGTGTGTCTGTTCCCAGGACATTACATTTCTGTGGATACATCTTACGAGGGTGAGAAAGCAGTGCTGTCCAGCCCTGAGCTGTACTCGGAGGAGTGGAGCTGTATCAGACTGATTTATCAGATAGCAACGACTTCAGAGACTTCCCCTGATCCTGCCAGGCTGAACCTGTACCTGAGGCAGGAAGGAGAGAGCTTTGATCGTTTGCTATGGTCAGCCAAGGAGCCTTCAGATAGCTGGCTCATAGCTAGCTTAGATTTAACGAACAGCACAAAGAAGTACAAGGTAAGCCCGATTTTAGAAGACGCCACAGGCTTTATGGTGCGTGTGTTGGGGTCCACGAACTGCTTTTTGAACTGCTCTGCGCCCTATTCTTGGCTTTCACCTCTAGGGCTGTGAGTCAGCCAACCCCTCTGTCCCTAAAATGAGCGAGCAGAGCTGGCTCGACTCAGGCAGTCAGAGCTCTTCCCAGCGAACGCGTGGTGCGGCTCACGGGAAAGCTCGGCCAGCTGAGCCGTGCAGTGAGGATGCCTCACCTCGTGGCAGCCCTGCGGAGCTGCTGGAGTCCTGCAGCAGATACGGGACCTCGCAGGTCTGTGGGGCTGCAGCTGCGCTCACTCATTCCTGTCCTTTTGCCCTTCTGGGAGGAGTCAGAAGCTGAGAGGAGAGTATTTCTACCCAAAACCCACCACGGCGCATCTCTCACAATAACGTCCTGTATAGCCACAGCTGAGGAATCTGGAGTCTCATACTCTTATATGAAGTGTGGGATTTTTTGGCCTTGTCTCATTGTCATTCAGTGTGCCTTCTGTCCTCAAGGAAGGGCATTGGCTCCATCTTTTGTGCGTTCTGCCAAGCTCTTCCAGCAAAAGCACCTCTCCTGACCGTAAGGATGATGAGCCCCTCACATATATTTAATTTGTTCTCCTGTTTATCCTGTTTAAATGTCCAGGGTGATAATGGAAATACTGAAACCCTAAAATTTACAGTTTGGTTTGTATTGTGCAGATTGTACTGGAAGGTGAAATGGGACAAGATAAATCTGCCAGTATAGCAGTTTTTGAAATTAAAATAACTCCTGGATATTGTATTGGTAAGTACTGTCTCCTCAGCTCTCATATTCTCTGCATAGAAAAAAGTGCCTTGTTGGCAGTTTTAAAACTGAATTAAGGTCTGGGTTTAGAAAAAAGACAATGGCTTTTTCCTTATTGGAAAGTAGGCTGCCATATTTGATATAGGTATTTTTTAAGCTAAGGTTGCATACACTAATACGTGTTTTTATTCACCTGTCTCTGTGATATATATATATAGATATTTCACATACCATAATTAATTCTAAAGCTATTTATTGTTCAAGCAGGAACAAGTGTTACATTTTCACAAAACTAGAGTGCTGCAAATATTAGACATAACAGCTGTGACATTATTTCTGCTGTCTGCCTGCTCATGCTTCCTTACAGTGGCATCTTGCAGGCTGCAGAGTCAAGACTCTGTTGATATTTACAATTACTGCTAATTCCTCATGACATTTGCCAAAAACCGCTAATGAAGTTCAGTGGCTAGGAGGCTGGGAGACCTTTGCATTTCTGGAGAGCTCTGGTGGAGTCCAACCGAATTGTCACAATTCTTTGGCTCTGTGAAGGAAGCAAAGCAATCTCATTACCGCTATGAAATACTAGTCTTCCTTTGCTTCTAGCCATCCTTGATTTACAAGTGGAAGTTCTGCTCTGACTATTTAATACTGTGAAGTGGTATATTTTAAATCTATTTTGTTTGGTTCTAAATTACAGCAGTCCTATATTGCCAAATAATGAAAAAATAGATCGGACCAAACCGGATGGAAATGAGAATTTTATCAAAAATTGATCAAAAATTGTGGCTAAGTTTGCTTCCATTTATTATAAGCTGTTAAGTGCTGTGTCCAGTTTTATAAATATACATGTTATCTGCTCTGCCATACGTAAAACAAGGTCAGTGCTTAGCAGTAGCCTCTCTTCCAGTTTCTGTAATGAAAATGTGTGCACTGAGCTGCTGATGTCTGCAATTGCAGAATGTGACTTTGAAGAAAATCATCTTTGTGGCTTCGTGAACCGCTGGAACCCCAATGTCAACTGGTTTGTTGGTGGAGGGAACATTCGCAATTCTCAGTCTATCCTACCCAAAGACCACACACTTAATAGTGAACTGGGTAAGCAACAAATGTAAAACAGAAATATTGTGGAAAATTTGAGTCTGTGATCCATGTATGACTCTTATACTGCAAATTATTATGTGAGTTCTTTCTTTTCTCCTGGCATCGGACGGGGTAAGAATGACTTATATGAAAAAAGGGATTAGAAAAAGTTGGGGGGAATTTGCAGAAGTTCACACAAAATTTCCTATAAGCTTTATAATAAGGTTGTTATGCCCTTTGCTAAGCTTCAAAATTACTCAAAATAAGGATGAAATTTTGGGAAAAGGGGGAAAATTAATCTTTCTGTGGATTCTAAAAGTATGGGCCACAATAAGTTTTAAAATCTTGTACCGCTGCTCTGTACATCTGGCAGGGGTTTTCTTTCCAATGGCTATTGGGAAAGTTGAGTAGGGAAGCTAAGGGGTTGAAACACGTTTGGAGAATCTTGAGTTAAATTGCACAGTTTAGGAGTTTTTTTCCTTTCAGTCAAATGTGGTGCTGTTAATACAGTCCATTGGAGGCAGAATGCTGTAAACACTTAAAGGATTTTCAGCACTTGCCCTGTACGAAATGCTTGTCCTGGCCACCTTGTTGAGAGGAGAACATTTTACATAGTCCTAGAGAAGGGCTGGGGGATATCTTAGCCTTTGTTGTAGTGTTGCGTGAAGTACCGCAGCAGGTGACAGTCGGGAGATCTGGCTGCTGCAGCACACCGTGTGTCTCAGACAACGTGACGCTTGTGACAGCGCAAGGAATCACATCATGAAAAGCAGGGTTGATCCTCTTTCCTTAACTCATGCCGCTGTGCCTTTTTATTTATTTCACAATTGTGTGAGTTGAGTACAGAGTGTCAGTCCGGCCCTGCATCACCCCATGGCACCTAAATGCTGGTAAAATTTTGATGGAAGTTTAGCTCACCACAACTTCAACAGCAGACAGTGGCTCTACCTATTAAATAAAGTACTGTATGTGATAGGAAATGCCGCCAACTGGGAGGGATCTGTTTTCTTGTAGCCACAGTGTTTCTTTTTCACACCAAACCCTCACTGCTGACCATCGACTGAGAAGCCAAAAGTCACAGAAGAGACTTCTTTTTGCAAGACTTGTGCTATGAAGGTACACCAGCCAGGGAGATCGTAATTAAGCTATGAAATGTGGTAAAACTGCAGAGCAAAAATGAATCCCAGAACTTCTCAGGCAAGTACCAGTGAAGTGTCACCAGTGTCCTGGCAGTGGGCAGGCTGGAGGAGACCCACGGCCAAGCAAGCCCTCTCCCCTCCTTCCACTGGCGTGAAGCGAGAAGTGACATCTCCAGGTTTGAGAACACTACTAGCTAATTAACATACTGGTCTAGATACAAACGTAATGGCACAGTTTGCAGTGTCCATGATGAAGTACCTTGTCAGTTTGACACTTTATTCTCCTCTAAGTTTTCTATTGGTGAAGAACCATTTTTCTGTTTATCAGCTGATACTGTTCGATGCAGTGTAGAAGAAGAAAAACTACAGATGCACAGCATATCCGTGCACATGGATGTGTCCTGTTTAAATCGAGATAGATAGCTCTCCCAAAATCAAAGTCTGAGAAGCTGTACCCTTTGAAAATTCTGCAGGTCATATGGGCTGTTGTAGGGGGAGGGAGTCTGCTCATCTGTAATGCATTTTTCTGTTTATTAACATCTCCCAAAAGTCTTTTTTAAGGATTTTACAAAAAATCAGTCTATTCAGTAAAAATGATAAAGCATTTAGAAACCAAATCCTAGATAGACCAAGCAGAATTATACAAGCAGCGAAATGTACAGAATAAAGGTTATTTGCCAATTCATTTGATATATTAAATGAACTGCTGAGTAAAACATGTGAGGAAACACATGGCTTATAGTCTTGTTCACATACTTGGGTTGCCTCAGTAAAAGCTGCACTTGGAAAAAGACTAAATACTATACTGAGCTGTTGGGAGGCAAGGAATTTAATCAGTTGTAACACATTTTTCCATTTATGAATGGGTCCTAAAATTCAGAGAGTTTATTACTTTCTTTAATATAAAGGTCTCAAATAAAGACTTAAGAAGAGCTGAGACTGACTGTTTTGCCAGTGGTATCTTAGCCGAACAACTTCGGGTTGCACATAGGAGGAAAGGAGAAAAAAATCTCTTAGAATTACTAAAATTTCCTAGGAATCAACCATTGTTGTCTAGGTCATAGAGATACGTCAAGTCCTTGCCCATCTCCTGATACTTCTTGTAAGTGGTGTCCTTTAAAGAGTGTCCTTACACCAAGTTTCTTTTATACTTTTAGGTCACTACATGTATGTGGACTCTGTTTATGTCAAACATTTTCAGGAAGTGGCCCAGCTAATCTCACCAAAGACCACGACCCCAATGTCTGGGTGCTTATCTTTTTATTATCAACTTAAGCAGGAAAGTAGCATTGTTTTTACTGTTTACTTGAGAGACACGAGTGGCTTTTATGAAGAGATCTGGAAAACAGAGAGTGCACTGAGTGCAGACTGGGTGCTAGCAGAAGTTGACTTCAATGCGCCATACCCCATGGAGGTAAAGCAATCATTCCTGTACAGTCCAGCTATGACTTCCAGGTTGCATCAGACATCAGTGCCAACTCAGGCCAAGTTGGGAACATGGCAGTGGCCATCCAGTATCTGAAATATCATTATAGAATCATAGAATCATAGAATCGTTAAGGTTGGAAAAGACCCTTAAGATCATTGAGTCCAACCGTTAACCTAGCACTGCCAAGTCCATCACTATACCATGTCCTCGAGCACCACGTCTATCTGTCCTTTAAATACCTCCAGGGATGGAGACTCAACCACTTCCCTGGGTAGCCTGTTCCAATGCTTCACCACCCTTTCGGTGAAGAAGTTTTTATAAAGATTATAAAGATGCTGGCGATCTGTTGTTTCCTTTGACCACTGCATAAGGGTCAAGGAGGAATCACTTTCCATACTGGTGCTTGATTTTCAGGAAAGATGAAGTCAGGTGATGAAGTGCGTACACAGAATACCTTGGGAGGCTGTAGGCTCCTACTAATGTGAAGTCTCCCAGTTCCTACTAAATAATGTCAATGTTCTCTCAGTCCCATATTTCTGTGACTTGATCCATTTTTGAGGATGCTGACTGTCATAAAATAATGCATGCCTCCCACTGCAGAAGAAAAATTTTAAAAAATATTTGAGCTCTATTCTCTACCTTATACACTCCTGCAATTCAGTCTTTCTGTGCTTTCATAAGATAGAGTCCAAACTTGGGTCCTAATAGTACTGTAGTCCTTAGATGTGAAAGCCAGCTCTCTATGGTTACTATAACTAATTTCAAGAGTGTCAGGAAAAGAAATGGAATTTTTTATTCCCTAGTGTTTACTGAAAAAAACCCCAAACCTTAGAAGACTGGAATAAACATTTTTATATAAATACATATATATATGTATAAAAAAAATATATAAACACACACATACACATATATATGTATAAAAATATGTATGTATGTGTATATATGTGGTGTACATTATATCTTGATATATATGTAAAACAGATATTCTTATATCTAATACATATATAAATAGAAGATTGGAATAAACAGCGTATATATATTATATATACACATATATACTTACATGCTGTCGTGGTTTAACCTCAGCTAGCAACTAAGCACCACGCAGCCTCTTGCTCACTCCCCCACCGGTGGGATGGGGGACAGAATCGGAAGGGCAAAAGGGGAAAACTCATGGGTTGAGATAAGAACAGTTTAATAACTAAAGTAAAATAAAAATAGAACAGTAGTAATAGTAATAATAACAATAAGAAGTAATAATAGTATAATAGTAATACAAAGCAAGCGATACACTGTATAATTGCTCACCACCTGCCGACCGATGCACGTCCCCTAAGCAGCGATCATTGCCCCTCCCTCGGCCACCTCCTGCCACTCATATACTAAGCATGACATCATGCGGTATGGAATAGCCCTTTGGCCAGTCGGGGTCAGCTGTCCTGGCTGTGCCCCCTCCCAGCTTCTTGTGCACCCTGCAGAGCATGGGAAGCTGAAAAGTCCTTGGCATGTGAGCGCCACTTAGCAACTACTTAGCACTCCTTAGCAAGAACCAAAACATCAGTGTATCATCATTGACATTGTTCTCATCCTAAACCCAAAACACAGCCCCATACAGGCTACCAAGCAGAAAATTAACTCTATCCCAGCTGAAACCAGGACACATGCATACAAATATATAATATGTATTTTATACATATATATGTAATTTTTTAATATATATATATAGTCTCTCCCTATATATATACTTCTAATACTAGGATTACAAATAAATCGGCTTTCATTCTACTTTCTTTAACTCCACATAAGTTATTTGTTAATTCACCATAAGCCTGCAGATTTTCAGAAATTCTTAGGGGTAAAGCTAATTTTCATCAGATGTTACGTAGTCCTTTTATACTTTACAAAGTTAGTGGCCAAGCCATCCATTTGAATTGTCAGACTTCAAAGGGTACGGGAAAGGAAATTGGATCTGATAAAGTCTCATAATACTGAATGGTAAGTGAATTACTTATTCAATAAATATAAAGTAACATGCAAGGGGAAAAACAGTCCTAGCACTATAGATGGAAATTAATTAATGATCGCTTAGAGCTTGCCATTACGGTGAAAATATCCTCTCAGTTCTTAGTGTCATTCATAAAGCCATCCGGAATGTTAGAAACTGTCTATACTGGAATAAATAGCAAAACAGAGGATGTCGTACCATTGGATGAATGCACAGGATACCCCTGTGTTCAGCAGAGTATGAAACTCCCACCATCTCAGTTAAAAAAGAATATCCTAGAACTACAAGAGGGAGATGCGGATAATCAAAAGTATGGAGAAGTTACGTTAATGAAATAACAGTTTTCAGCCTGTAAAAAAAAATGACTGAAGTGGAATATGGTAGAGGCTCATAAAAATCATGAACGATACAGAAAAGATTAACTGTTCCCTTTTTCTCATGATTTATGTTGCTGCTCCAAATTCTTAATTACCGGGTAACAGTTTTAAAGTAAACCAAAGGGAGGATTTTTTCCTACATCACGTAACTGTAGAACTCACTTCCACAGCGTACGATGGATACCATTATTCTGATCAGTTCAAAAACTGGTTGGACAAATTAATGGGAAAGAAAGAATCCATCAGGAATGCAATGTGAGAGAAGAAGAACTGAAAACTTGTCATTGGCTTCAGTTCTTTCTGCAGGTGATCTCTGTTGGAAACAAGACACTGGGCTAGATGGGCCTTTATTCTGCTCCAGGAATTTTTATGTAATCCAGCACAGTCATTATTTGAGACATCACTTCATAGAAATAAGATCAGACCTTGCATATAATTTCTTCAGTTGCTTCAAGAGGATCTTCCTCTTTGTTTCATCCGGCTAAAGGAAATTGCTCAGGATTCTTTCACCGCTCTCCTATTTTGGCTCCGATCCCTAGGCGAGACATCACAGGCATTGCTTTCACTGAACAGGATCTCACTCTGGAAGCATTTGTCCTTATATCCTTGTTTTGTCCCTGGGGTTGCCTTGTGATTCAGGCCTTTTCTCAAAGTTTTCCTGTAACTCAGAGCTTTGATACTTAAGAGAAATTTTAAGACACTTCCTCAAGAGTTACGGACTGTTCTCCACTTATTTGAGGAAATTATGTCCCTTGAGAACGGCTAAGTACAAACATTGTTTGATTTTTGTGGTGAACAAAACATAATGATAGCTTTTCTGGTTCTTATCTTAACTAAATTTTTTAAAGGAAATCTTCCCTGCCAGTTGATGCCAAGGCATGGGTTTCAGTGTCTGAGGATGTTTAGAGAAAACAGTAAAACTACATATTGTAACATCAGAGTAACGCACACAGTTTGTTTTTAGCTCTTGATCCAGACAGATTCTACAGTAATAATTAGGCAGGTTTGGAGTTATAGTCAGTACAGACTGATGAGCCTGAATACTGGCTTTGTATGGTATCACGACAGTAACCTTACTGCATCTTTCAAACTGATGCTTCATAAAGCAGCAGAAGAGCTATGTTCCCCTTGATTTTTTACTTGACCTTGAGTGGGCAAAGATGTGGTGCCAGGGTCAGGCTCTGATTTATATCCCTAATAAGTGATACAATTTAATTGGTCCCAACACCTGTCTGAGATGCCCTCGAGTCTGTCTGGTACATCCGATCAGAATTCTGTAATATGAAGATGTGTACCAAAATTATTGTTGTGTATATGGTAGATGAATAACAAACGATTGTAATTTCCAGGTAATATTTGAAGTTGCTTTCAATAGTGCCAAGGGAGGTTATGTTGCCCTTGATGACATTTCTTTCTCTCCGGTTTACTGCAGCAATCAGACAGGTATGAGTTCTTATTGCTATTTACCTTCCTTGTTTTCCCCTTTTGCTTTGCTCCTCTGAACCATCTGTCGGTACTTGCAATATTTGATAGTGATGTGCAGACGCTACCTTCTCAACTGACCAGCACCATTGGGCTCCTCTTACTCCTGGCAACAAAACAGGAGATAAACACTAATGCCGTTCATTTGATCCAGAAACCAGTCCTTAATGCTTCTTCTCCAAAGACCTTGCCTCAGGGATCTGCAACTGAAGCACTGGACTGAACGCTGTATTTGCATCACCCCAGCTTTTGAATAAATTACCACTTTCAGGCCTGTCACAGACGAGAGGGGGATTTCCCCAGGTGTGACCATATGAAGAAGAAAATGTTCTGGGCTTTTCGTTATTGCCGATGCAGGGAATATCTGCTTCCACGGCACATGCCCTGAGGTGTTCTTCAGAGCCAAAACAGGAGCCTTGCCTTCCTGTCTTCACTCTTCCGGGAGGTATTATTTATCTCAGAGTGGTGTGTCTGTGACGATTTTATGAGGTTTTCACAGCAGCAGAAGTCAGCTGAATCCACGTGACCTCTGCTGTAGAGGCACTTGGGATGAAGGACTTTTTGTCACTTGTGAATGCAGCCTCTTAAGTAGCTGTGTACTGGTTGCTTGGGTTTTACTGTAGCACTAAGCAATAGTGAAAAGTAGATTAGGGGTTTCCCACTAAGCTCATCCATTCTTTTGGTCACAAGTTTGAATTTTTGGCTAATGTTTTGAAGTGATCAAGGAAAAAGAAATTTTTTTTCCCTTTTTTATCTGCTTGGAGTCTCTGCTAGCTTTACCTGCACTGCTCAAGTATCAATAGGAGGTAGATTCCAGATATGTTATTAATCCATGATTCTTGGCTGAGTAGTTGTTTCATTAACTCCTCAATGCCTGTTTTTGCTTTGTTTTGCAACAAAAACCCTGAGTTATGTTTGCAGTATGCCATGGATTGCAGCTGTGTGCTCATCTGTGTTTTCCATTTTAATTTTCAGGTGGCTTATATGTGTTGAGGTATGGGATAAATTTTATAGTATTTTCTGCCCCAACCGTGATTTAGTCATGCTATCACGGCCCAAGTTCAGATCTACTCTGACTTTTTGTAAATTTTACAGGTTCAGCTAGAACTTTGCCTACTAACTCTGATTTTGAAGTTCTTGTGGTTTTTTTCTGTTTGAGAAATGAATGCCAATCATTTTTTTACATTTTTTTGAACTACAACAAAGCTGGTTAATCCTTCAGACTTATCTCCAATTTCCATCTTCAATTGTTTTGAGTAGAGATGTTAAAAAGCAAGAGATCTTCATTCTCCTTATAGTCAACCATAGCAGTGTATATAACAGCATTAAGTTTTTTCCTTATTTTTCTGGAAATTTTGGTCAACAAAGGTCTCAGTGTTAGCCAAACGGAGGGAAAAGGTACCAGAGTATTAAACTTGCCCACCAAAGAATGAATCTTTAATGCTGCATGGACCTGGTAGTCCTCCAACTGTGTTTTCTTTAGCTAGGAAAGCAGTGGGGGGAGGCCAGGGCTGCCTCCTTTTTCTCTGTAGGGAGGGAAAGACATATGGACAGTGCTTAGATCTAGCTTATTTGAGGCTGAAGAGACCACAAGCATCACCAAAATTTTTCATCACCTGAAGCTGATCGCCTGTGTCCCTGCCCTTGCCAGGAAGCCCCTCTTAGTCTTCATGCAGAAGGGTCGTGCATGCTGCGGCAGAGCGATGCTCACAGGATCCTGACTCCTGATGTAGCCAAAAATTGCATGATGGCTTTGGGTTGTGCCTCTCCTTCCCCAGGCATCTGGTACAAGTGACTGATGAGGCTTTTAAAGAAGTAGAAGTGTTTTACTGGAAAGGAACTGTTCACCGAGGGGATTTTTTTGGACTAAAGCAAATCCTGACCCATGAATTCCACATTGCAGATCAAGAAGGAGCCATCAGCAGGGCTGGGGAGCTTAGCTTTTAATCAACTTTCATATAAACGGTGCAGCTTTCTTGCTGCAGTGCTAAAATGAGTGAGGCATAGCTTCAGAGGTCAGTACCCATGAGGTGGTTACATGAACCAAAAGCTCTTTGACTTGCATACTTACAGCATGCATATGCCCACATATTATACATGACTACAAAAGGGGTTTTAAAAAAGTGCTCTTTAAAAGAATATTAAATGTTGATGTTAGAAAATTATCCCCTTGGAAACTGAAATGAAAATATGACATCCATGCACACACACGTGTGTACTTCCACTCATTTTGTCCAAATATCTTTTGAATGAAGAAGGAGGATGAAAACAGATGGTCTGAATGTCTTTGTGCATTATGTCCTCCTCAAGGAGGAATCTTCTCTTAATAGCTGTAGCTTATTTATATTTTAAGGGGCTGTGAAGGAGGTTTCTGCCCGGCTTCAGCAAAAATATAAGAAAATAACACCCACTTGCAATAGAAAATTGATAGTTTGATATCATTGTAACTTTGCACGATATACATATAACATCTTTGCACATGCTCATCTTCTGTAATGCAAAGAAAGATGAAACAGAGTATACTTCAGCATTCTTCTGCTTCAAATACTTATGCTTATTATACTGTGCTCTTCCTAACAGAATATATGCATCTATCTTTTAGGAACTCCTTTCAATCCTGCCCAAGCAGGCTGCAATTTTGAGGAAGATCTGTGTAGATTTTACCAGGATCACAAAGATGGCCCAGGATGGAGCAGAGTGAAAGTGAAGCGTAACGTGTATAGAGCAGGAGATCACACTACTGGGTTTGGTAATTCAAAACTCCTTTTCACTAGAAGAGTCAAACTGGATATAAAGGTTAACCTGCTGTATCATTGTTCACTCTGTTAAATAATGCCATTGGCACACTGGTTAGATTGCCTCACTGCAACCTCCTGCCATTAAAAATCGGTGTACACCGCTCTGTCCTAGCTGGGACGCTGGCTGTGCCTCCCCACATGTTAAGGGGGAAGGTCACCTATTGAATAGTCATGCAGGGCTGTAAATCAGAGTATCTTCACTGTACTGATCTGTAGTCACTGAAGGGATGATTCCACAAAAATATGCAAACAAATATAATAGTAGCTTAATGCATTACTTTTAGTATAGAGGAATAGTGTGCTCTTAGCTCTTCCAGGCTTAGGATAGTTGGCATTTTTAAGAGAAAACTGTGAAGTGTTGTGTAGTGAAGCCATGTAATGAAAGGCCTGCTAATAAGTTCTGAAACTCACACATCTCTCTGTCTAGAGTATTCATGGTTCTTAATCATATATGCTAAAGTCTCACCTCTTTATACTTGGTGCAGGGAATAATAGGCTTTGTGCCCCATCCTTCATTCTTCAGTCTCGGAGTGGTACCCTTGAAACAGCCAGGTTTCCAGTGAGGCCAGCAAATTTTTCAGTGTAAATTTGAAAAGTGCTTATTTCTGGTAACTTAGCCACGTGCCAGTTTACCTTGAAGTAGCTGGCATGCTTTTAGAAAAATTCTCATTTCCTTTCAAACAGAGTGTGATAATCTGTTTCCTGCCAGTAGAAACTGTTTTTATAACCACAGTCTGATGCAATAATGGAAGCCACTTTAATAGCAAATCAGCTGTGCTAATTGCGTATTAGAAATACCCAATAATTGTGCTGTCTTGCAGGTTATTACTTGTTGGCGAACACAAAGTTTACATCACAGCCTGGGTACATTGGACGTCTGTATGGCCCGACCCTGCCAGGAAACTTGCAGTTTTGCCTGCGTTTTTATTATGCCTTATATGGGTTTTTCAAAATGAGTGGTACTCTTGCTGTTTATATCTTTGAGGAGAATCATGTCGTTCAGGAGAAAATCTGGTCCGTCTTGGACTCTCCAAAGGGAGTTTGGACTCAAGCTGAAATCTCCTTCAAAAAGCCTATGCCTTGCAAGGTAAGAGCCAGCTCTTCAAATCTGCTGAACTCTGGATGGAGATTTTCCTTGCCTTCTCCTCCCAGGGTTCTTTGTTATCTGGGGATTAATCCTAAGTGAGCTATACTTGCACAGTGAAATAGAGTTCCTCAGGCAGCACAGCAGGGAGCAGAGTATTTCTTCACAGCCTGGCTCCCAGGGGAGCCCTGACAAAGGGGCTTCATACCAGGAATGGTGCAATGTTGCCCTGGTGTCCTCAACGGTAGTCACAGTATTTGTGGAGATTTCACTTAAGGAGTTCTATCGAGAGCTGGTTGTGTCTTGGTTTCTCAGCAGGCTCCACATTCATTCATTTTTGTTTGTTTCTTTCCTATGTGATTCACATCATTGTATTCAATTACAGATTTTAATTAATCTAAAAAGTCAGTACTGGTAAGTTCTGGTCAAAATGGGGAGCTGATCCTACTTTCCTAAACTCAACCACGGGGTTAAAATATGAAAACAGAAGTCAGCGTAATTTAGAGCAATGGACTTGAAGTACTTGCAGTGTCTGGTTGGAGAGGTCACTTTGTTATCTCAGCAAGTTAATAAGAATAACATAATATTTCACGTCACCTCCTGAGTAAGGCCTCAAGCTGCTGTTATTCGGCACCTCCACTCTTTTTACAAAGGCTGACTTTTACACAAATTTGTGTAGGCGCTACTTCTGCGGTTATCCTGATTTCTGTAACGGGTTTTCACTATCTGTGAGTCATCTAAGGAGAACCAGATGGATTACTACCTGATGACAATGACATAAATCCAGCTTTTCTTCCAAAGTGTGATAGTACTATGAACATATGAATGAAAGCTTGTCTTGTAACTCAGGTATTTCTAAATTAAGACAAACATCTTAAGCATTTTCCTCACTACAAAGTAATTTTTGAAATTGCAATAGTTATTGAGTTTAACTTTTCTTGGGAAAAAAAAAAAAGTGTCTTTCTTTGAAGTAAATACACAGTTCGCCAAAAAAAAAGTTGCCTAACTGTGTTAAAAGGGAAATTTACGCTGAAAATTTCAGTCATAATTGTTGGCTAGTGTTTTCTCTCATCTGGGAGATTTTTATGCATAAAACGTAATAGAATTTCTAATTCCCTCTCAACTGATACAGAAAAAAAAAGAGTTTTATTAATGCCCAGCAAGTGCATGACGGAAAAGTCTCTCACAGAATCATCCCAAAATATTTGCAGTAAAGAATTTTTGTATTTTTTTAAAATCATGAAAATGTATTGGTTAAAAAGGCAAGCTTTAACATACTTTTGCCATCTCCTGTTTATGTATTTCTTTATTACTTCTAAAAAGGTTCAGTAGCTTGTGTACTGTATGAGTAGTGATGACAGCTCAGCATGACTGTTAAAAGTGGTTTATAGCCTTGGAAGTGGCAGTTTTTTTAGCATCTGACATTTACATGGAAAATCTTTTCCAATATGAATTTATGAAGAACTATTTTTATGTTTTCCTAGAAATTAGTATATCTAAAACACTTGTGAAGAAGCTTGCCTGGGATGGAAAGCTTTTCGTGAATTGCAGCTTTCATGTCTGTGGTTACCAATCTGTCTGTAGGCAGTAACAGATGGGAACAGCAGCACAGAGGAGAATAAAGAAGTCAAGGGAATATCTTGCTGTTTCTGATCGCGAATGTCTGCAGGAGGGAAGAAACCCCGTGCTCTGCAGCAGGAGGGTTTGTTGGCCTCTGGCAATTCTCAAAAATCTTCAGTGGGTCATTCAGGTCTTGTGATGGGAAAGCCTTCTTTCCCATGGAAACAAGTTGCAAAATGTTTCTGTTGAGGAGGCATTCCTCAAATATGACAAAAAGTGAGATTTATTGGGCTTTAGAGAACTCAGCATGTGTTCAGCATATCATAATTCAGACATCCCTTCGCCAAATAACTATGTATGTGGGAGGGGGAGAGGGGGGCGGTGAAGTTCTACCTTAGCCTTGGTTTAAACCTATTCTCTCACACTTTTTTTCTGGATTGGAAGATTAAATTAGGTTTAGAAAAAGGATTAACTTGCAGTTTTGCATATCTAGTAGATGCCATTGGTACATAATAAATCATGCACAAGGTATAATGTGCTGAACTTTGTATAACAGTTTTATGGTTTTCATGATGGCTGTGTATGTATATACACCATCAGTGCATAAAGTTTTCCTTAGACAAATAGTACATGGAAGACAATGGGTGAACTTCTGAAGCATGTCAATATTGAAAAGTATATCAAGATATGTTTATGGCTGAGAAGGTAGCATACAAAAGACAAATGATGCCAAAGTTTAAGCATGTCTCTGCTTGCCCTAAGGCAAGGGTGAAAAACTGGTGTATTTACAAGTTGTCTGCTTGTAATATTCATAAGCAGGCCTGAATGAAGTTGCATGGTGAACCCTATTCTGGCTTTTCCTTGCAGTCTTTTCAACCTTAATACTTTAAAAAGTCCTTTCATGCTTTATTTTGTTTCTTCTTTTCCAAGCCAACAGAAGGAAATGAAGGAGCCCTGTGTGGCATTGTATAAACACTTAGGTTCGTTACCTGTGAAGATGTGCCTGCCTAGGACCTAGTGAAATAGCTGACAAGGAATACTGATTTCAATGGCTGTCTTCAATGTAGGCCAGCAGTGGAGGTGCATGAGAGCACGTTTTGCCTGACAGCAAGGAGTGGTGGGAACCAGCAAGTCCGGGATTACACTTCAGGCTCTGGAGGGAGAGACAGTATAGAGAAACATGAGAGAAACAAGCTCACTGAAGCTTGACCTCTCTTGTCCGGTCTCCTCCAACCTGTCCTTGCATCTCTTGCCTCCTTACTGATGCATCTTTGTCTTATCTATCGTGCCCTGTAGGCAGCAGCCCCCCATCATTCCCCATCTTACTCCTGACTCCTCATTTCTGGACAGTCCAATTTTTTTCCCTGTAATCCTGTCCATGTCCCAGTCTATTTGCCCTGCTTGTCCCCGTTCTTACAGATTTTAGTTTTTCAAAAACTAATGACTTGACAGAAAGCACAGTTCTGGCACAAAGACCAAACCCTGACACTTTTCATGCTCCTACTCCAAAGCCTAGGAGTGCCCAAGCTTTTCAAAGAATTTTTTAAATAGGGGCAAAATAAAACCTTTTTTCCTAGCCTTGTTCTCAGAAATGATGGAACTGTTTTGGTTTCAATCTTCCAAAACAAGCCTGAAGCAAGGACCCAGCATGGAAAGTCTGAGCTGAAATCATTGTGTCTTGGCAATGTTATAAGCAAGCAAAAACCAGTCTTCTAATGGAGTGAGGTGGTCTCAAAATGAGATAGGGCTACCACCTTTCCTCTAAAACAGATGTGGTGGCTGATGTGCCTATTGTGTTGTTTTCTGAGATGCATCATGTCTAGACTTGGATGATAAGAAGTTGTAGGCATGCACAGTAGTTTGGCTGATCAAGTTCTTGGTTACTGGGTGTGACTTGTAGATTGGGTCAGTGCCTGTGGAAACAGTAAACAGTCTCCTGCCTGTTCCTTAATGGCCAGGAAAGTCAGCGAGGCAGTCATTATGCTGCTTTGGCCAGGGAGTCCTGGAGGTTGTAATGATTTTGCAGCCAGAAAACAACTGTTCTAAAATACCTGATTACCTACGTCCTTCATCTTTCTTCTACTATGAATACTACTGCCAAGGCTTTGAAAACAATATAAAATCTGTCTGATATGTTTTAATTTTGATAACGTATTTGTTTGTATCAGGACAATAAAAAGGCTCAGATTTTTGTCTCTTGGTTTGTGTAATGGTTTTTGCAAGTTCTTTTCGAATTAGCTAACTGCAGTCTGGCACAGGTTGTTGGCTTGAGTTCTGTGAGCAGGAAACGTGAAGCTGGCCAACAGGCTTTAATATGACACTTTGAAACTACCACGTTGAAAAGGTTAGGTGGGTATGATCCAGCTAAGCAAGTCATAAATGTTTATACATATATATATATATGTATATATGTGTACATACTGCAAATACATATGCTATATAATGCTAGCAAGAAGGCAGGAAATTTAAAATCCTGATTTCTCAATTTGTACTTGAGGCACTTTCTCTTTTATTTAGTCTAAGTACCTATGGTCCTGTACACAGACAGTATTGTTTTTATACTCCATAGTGCCCAGGGAATAAATATGAGAAGGAAGAAATAAAAATAAAATTTCCTAACATCTATTAAAATAAATGAAACCCTTCATGATTTTTTGTATAACCCTCTTAAAGGGCAGCATAAAAATCTGAGTGTGAAATATGTTGATTCTTTTGCTCTGATTGAATGTACTGAAACTGATCTTCCAGGCCAATGCATGGCAGTAAAATGTCAGAGCTAACTGAAAGAAAAATTCACATATGGCATACGTAACCTGGAGACGCTCACATGCACCGTGGAGCAAGAATCTGCATTTTAATTTTGTGTGTATGTGTTCGCATGTATAGGCCACCATGGAAAGATATTTCTTTTATGCAACTTCACAACAAAGTCCAAATGCCTAGATTAAAATGAAGGTTGAGTGCAATTGGATCTACTTACATACGATCTGTTCATTTCTGCTAGATTTGCTTCACCATTCTGAAGCTCGGTTTTCAAAAGCAAACATCTTATGTTGTTTATCCATTCATGCAAGTTTTTGCAATGTTACCTAGCGCTGTAGTGCTTGAATACCTCCCACAGAGTTCAAAAACAAATCCTCAGAAAGGTAGCTGGCATCATAACAGTCCACCCTACTTCCATCAGAGTAGTTGTGGCAGAATTTCCTGGGTTTTCATTCTTTCAGTCTACTTTTCTTCCTCTCTGATGTTTTTTTTCCCCTCACTCTCTTTCCTTGAGTTCATTGTTTTCACACGTTCTCCATAACTAATTTTAGTTGCAGTTGTGAGAAAGCAAAATCAAGTGACTGAGTGTTGCATTTCAATATTTACACGTTTTAAAACAAACAAAAGGGAGGACTTCTTTGGGAATGACTGAACGCTGAAATCCTTTGCTGCAGGATGCT